CGTAACCACTTGAATGAAGATTTGTGAAAAAATCAAAATGTCCAAAATCAGATTTCTCGTATCTATTCAAAGGTTTTGAGAAAAATTCTTATTGTATAGAGCGCAATGAGACGTCTCCGATCTCTTCGTGAACTTCCTTCATCGAATTGTCTTTCGGACTCTCCGTAAATTGAAAACAGATCGATGAAGGAAGTACCTGGAGAGTTCGATGACGTCCTATTTTGCCCTATCAAAGAAAAAGTTTTTCGAAGATCTTAATTTCAGCAGTTTTGTTGAAGTCTTCGAATCTGCTACTGCTAATAGAGAATTGTTTTAGCTACACAAATGTTTTATATTTCAACAATAGATGAATCATTTCTTACATGTTTTTATTCGATTTTGATTTATTGAATGTCGATATTGCCTTTGATCATTGATCCAAATCTTTCTCAACTTCTTCTGGTGATCCATGAAAATCAATTTCTTCTATGGATGTCATTATCTGAAGAAAGGTTGTATAGAAAATATATTTTATTTTTATGTCATTTTATATTGTGATTTCAAAATAATATGATGCAATATAAAATATGAGTCATTCATTTATCGTAAAATTGCATTATTTTCTTCTTTCTATTATCAGTTCTTATTTTAGATTACATCTAATCAATACACATAGGACAAAAAAAGATAACATACTACGATCCAAAACAGTATTCTACAAGATTATTCCGAAAACTTGGTTAATCATCGAAAAGAAACAAAAAAGGATAATAACATATCAAGTTTTCTGTTTTGAGTCAAAAAAAGATACTGATTTCTTTATCAATTAATACATTCATTGTAAAAGTATAGAAATCAAATGGAAAAAAAATTAAAGGTAATATTCAACGAACGTATGTTCTTGAATGGATTGCATAAATGGCGAAGAATCCAAATGATGAACAGTTTTCATGAACAAATCCTAAATAAAACAAAGAGATAAATGAATTCGGAATTGAAAAAATTTTATTAAATTCTTTTAGAAAATAGATCATATCAATCGAAATTGAGTGAACAAAAATTCAAATTGAAACAACGATATGCTTTTCGACTGAGATGATGTTCATTTGATGAGTAATAGAAAAGTTTAGAATAGTTTCGTTTTTCGGACCTTCGTTGTTATTCAACAAAAACCTGTAGTCCTACTCAGGTTACATGAAAAATCGACTTTCAAAATCAAATTTTGCATGAACATGAGAATAATTCTTTTGGCAAATTGTAAATTTTCTAGTTTTTTTTCTATTCTGAGATATCGAATATACGAAATTTTCGATATTGACGAATCTCATTAAGAACTTTGTTTGTGCAAAGTTTGAAGTCGAAATCCTATTTTCTAGATGACCTGAGAGGAACTATATATTTTTATGCTGAAATATTCAGTAAAATTTCGATATGTGGAGAATGAAGATTCGGAACAGCCATATGTCGTCAGTCAACTTTTCATATTCTCATCTGACGGTTGTTCTTCGATAGATGGGAAAAGTTCTTGATAAGATTTTATTTAAAACTTGATCTCGTCTTTTTAATATCTAAACTAAAAAGTAAGAAAAATTTTGATAATGTGTTGAATAATATTCAATGATGAACTTTGTTGAGGAATAACATTGAACATCTAATTATATCCTACTTTTGCAGATTGTGACAGTTCAAAATGAGGAAAAAGTTTCACTTTTCTTCGAGAATATCAAAACATTTGGAGCTCTTTTCTCGAAGAATACTAAGATTTTTCTTGAGATAAGTACCGAGTACTTTCTTGCACCAAAACTATTATACTAAATTTGGCATACAAATGACATTGAAGAAAAACGAAAGATTGCCACAGGTACTTTATACTAATTTTTCTGATACAGGTATTTATTTCAGCATGACTTCTACTTTAAAGTGTTATAATAAAATATTCCTTCCTGTTTTGGATATTTATTGGGGAAAACAATAAATTTCGAAAATATGTGTTCATGCGTTATTTCTAATTCAAACTTTTTATAATATAAGTAGATGTTTGGAACCACTCCAAACTGAAATCGATACAAAAATTTTATTCGGCTGATTCTTTTCTTTTTCAACTCAAAACCTAACTTTATAGCATGAAGTTAGTTCTATAGAATTCCTTATCTAATTATATATTTACATAGCAGAAAAACATCATCAATTTAAACAAGTTATGAATGATGAAAATATTGATTTTATTTAGTACAAACATCAATTAATGCAAGTTTAACTCAGCACTACATCAAGGAATAATTAGTGTCAAAGCTTCTGTATCCTACGTTATCTTGATAACTTTAGAGATGATTATTGAATTGTTCATCTATGAAATTTCTATTTGAGCTTCAATACAGTTAGTTTTTGAATTACTTTAAAAGTAATTCAGTAGAAGTCACTTTTAGTTTCCTTGTAGCTACGCTTATTAAACCTAACAATAATTCTTATTTAGTTTATTTTTTCTCATGATTTAATATATCACTACAGTCAAAACAACGAAAAAAAAACACCAATCAGAATATTCAGTCACTGAACTATTTCATAAGTTTTTATAAAACAAACTTAAAATATTAATTATTCAAAATGTAATCAATATCAATAGATAGACAACAAGAAAGAATAAATAATGTGTTTGAAACTTTTGACTTGATAGTAAATGAGATATCACGACGAGTTTCACTAGTAGATCAGAACTTTATGAGCACATGCATTTTCGATTCGTTTCAGTTGTTAAATGAGTCAAAATTTTCTGAATATTTTTAGTTTAATTATGAAAAATTCTCATTTGAAATACTTACTTGTCTTTTGATCATACATTCATTTGTTTACTTGAATCGAAACTATTCGACCATTCCTGTTCTAATAGATGAATTGAACAATTAATTTTTTTTTTTTGTTAAATGTTTATTAGATTCTAAATTAAATAAAAAAAGTTCCACTTACTCGTTTCTTTGCTTTATGAAGACCACTAAAATTTAAACATATAATAAGTGAAGACTAAAATAAAAATTGAATATTACAGTTTTTTTTAAGTTACTTTATCAATTAAATATTGATCAACCGAAAATTGCTTTAGTTAACTGATAAAATTCATCGGTTTTATTATTTTCATGATGTTGAAATCAATGATAACGATGAAGATACATGTATGACCATCAATTGAACAAAATATTCCAAATTGTTCAGTTTCTTTAATTAGAAAAGTTTTTATTCAAATAAAAAATAGAGATTGTGTCAATGCAACTCATTGAAGATTCTAATGTAAAACTTACATGTATTCTTTAGTCTCATTATACTCATACAACATTCTTGAAATGAAAAATTTCTACCAGACTATGAGGGATTAAGAGAAATCGAATTTTAGTCAATTTTGCTTTTAAAGTTACTATGAGTTTCATATGTTTTCATTTTTGAATCTCTTAACTTCTTTTGGATGAGTTTCCTTCGCGATTCTCGAAAAGTATGTGAGTACTGGTATAGAGAAAACTATTCCAGAATTGAATCTTATCATATCTAAAAACGTCTTCAGTATTTTTTTTTATTTATACGCTTAAAGTCGTAGAATATTTAACTATAACTTTCACTTGCAGTTGGAACTACCGGTTTTTCTCATAGTTGCTACTATTAAAGTGAAAGTCTATAATGACCACATTCATAAATGATCACCAACAAGATGCCTTGAGAAAATGTGAAATAAATTCTAATGAGAATATTATGAATACGAATCTGACAAACTTCCAAATTTTCGTCTCACATATCTTTAAAACTTACATTCACTCTATTTTTCTTCAAAAAAAGATGTGAGTTCCACAAAACAAAAACAAAAACAATCAATAATTTTATCATCAATTGCTAATGATGATGGATTAATATCAAATAAACTTTGAATATTCTCCAATTGAATAAGCGGAATATATTTTCATACCGAATGCTTTTCACATATATTTAAGACAATCGGAGAAAAGAAAACGAGTTAAATGTAGTTATATTGTTGGTAATTCTTGTTGAAGTTCAATAACTTGAAATTTTTCTATATAAGCATGATGTGCAGCAAGAAACTCGGACTAAAATTTAACGACAATTATCAATAATATGAACAATATTAAACATTGATAAATGTTTTTCCGTTTTTCTACTTTGTTCATTTAATTTTTTTTTTTGCTATTTCACGTAATTTACCCAATGAATCAATTAATAATTGATAATCAATATGTTTTATTGATGTATGTTTACGTAAACGTTGAATAAGTCGTATCATTAAATACAGCTCAATATTGTTCACCTAATTCAATGTTATGTTCACGAATCTATTCGAAATAATTTTTATTTTTTACATTATCTATTCAATGATATAAAATTACCTTAAGAAAACAAAATAAAAGTTATATTAAAAATAATATTGGAATTGATTACAAAAAAATAGTTCATTCGAAAATGAAAGTAACGATCTGTATAGATGAGTTAATGTAATACAAGAAAATTCAACTAGTCCACTAAAATCCAATAAGTGTCCTACTCCAATCGGATCACAAGAATTTTGACCTATGTCGCACGCTACTGTGCAATATGAATGATTTGTTCAGTACGGGGCTGCCAGATCTTCCGAATTTTGAATATTTTTTCGAGACCTTTTATTTCTCTAGATTCGAGATTTAATGACTTTAGTTATAACTTCTAATTTAACTTTCATTAGCAATTCAGGCGCTGTCGTTGTTCTACTGTAATCATTCCATAATACAATTTTGAGACGATTTATAATGTAACATCGTTTGAATTTAAAATCTATCCGAATTCAATGAATACTTTGTATTGTTTAAAAAAAATGTCATTTGAATCAATAACTTCTTTGACATGGACTGAACTTTAAGTTTAGAAAAGTGTTTTTTCACATGAAAATTGTCTCTTGTTATCCTGAATTAAATTTAGCCATGAATGATGAAGATGGTAATTCAGATATGAATTTACGCGAGATTGAAGAAAGAAGTATATCGGCAACAATTTTTGCACAAAATGCTGATAGAGCAACACATATGCCCATAGAAAAAGTGGTATATATATCTGATAGTGGAACAACTGCTTTCCGAACTTTTTCCGAAGTAGAATATAAAAAATTCCGAATTTTTTCGAATTTTGGTTAAAACATTTCGATTTCTAACTTTTCGATCTGGTAACCCTGGTTTAGTACGAGAAGAATTCCATAATAGTCTATGAAAATTGAAATACATCAAAGGTATCAAATCTCGTTACGCTCGATAATTTTTTTCTAATGATTTTATTCGACTGATAAACAAGCAGAAAAAAATTTATGCATTCTTTTTGAAAATTATTGTTTAATTGCTGAGAAGCGAGTTCGTATTCAGACTTTGCTATCGTATCGAACAATCAAATAATGTTTATAGAAAAAGTATACATAGTTTCTTTCTTAAGTATATGACCAGTAAAGCCTTAGAAAAAATATTGAACCTGTGAGATTAGATCATTTTATAATATATATATATATATATATATTTTGTAAATCTAGCTTTTCCGATAATAACATTGTTCAAATCTATTAACAACAGAATATTTTCACAAGTAACTCAACAGACTATAATTTTTGTTTTAACTAGTAAAATATATTTCATTGAATAATTATCTTACTTGAATAATATTTAATAACATTGTAAAATTAATATTAATTTTCATTCGATTTCTCGTATATTCCATTCCAATTAAATACTAATTATATATGTTAATATTTTGTTCTTTATAACAATATTGTCATCTAATACATACTCTTTTTAATAGTTGTATTGAATAATAAATAAAGTAACGGACTATTAATCATATGTTGATGATGAAAATAATAATAATGAAGAAATCTGACGATGTTGTTGTTTAATTATTAGTTAAATTAATTGTACACATGGATTTATCAACATTATTCATTAAACATAAAATTCTCCAAATCACTAAAAACATTATTATATAGGGTGTCCGAGAAGTCCTTAGAGTTAGGGAAATTTTCATATCGCCTTTACGGCTCGACCAAACGAGCTCATTTTTTTAACAAAGATTGAGGCACGTTCACACTCCAAATCCATATTGACAAGAGTATTGAGAATCTTTGTTAAGTATCACTATTGACCTCAACAAGAAAATTTTACTGCTCCATAGAGAGGAAGAAAAACCATATACTTAACAAAGGTTCTCACTAACTTTGTCAGTATGGATTTGGAGTGTGGATATGCCTCTATCCTGGGTAAAAATATCAGTTGGTTCGCTCAAGCCATAATGAAGAGAGTCAATTGTCTTTTCAATAAAGTGTCTTTTGCCCTATCCTGTGTAATGTTTGTTTTCCTAACTGTGAAACAGTAAAATTTTCTTGTTGAGGTCAATAGTGATACTTAACCCTTTCCGGCCGGATGTTTCCATATGGAAACATTTTCCCCTATAGGGGTACGGCATTTTTCAAATAGCCGGCCGGAAAGGGTTAATAAAGATTCTCAATACCCTTGTCCATATGAATTTGGAGTGTGAACATGCCTCAATCTTTGTTAGAAAAATGAGCTCGTTTAGTCCAACCATAATGGAGATATCCAAATTTTTGTAACTCTAAGGACTTTCCGGACACCCTGTATATACATTTTTTAATCTTTTTTCTTTATTGATTAATACATACTTATACATGAATAACAAATTGTTGATCTTGATGTGTATAGAATAGATATGTTGATATAAATAAATTTTTATTCAAAAGAAGAATATATCTTGTTTCATTCTTGTCTGTTGTAATAAATCCACCTAACAAAGAAAGATTTTTTCAAACTTCTGTAATGGATTATTTTGATCTAAAATTTTGTTGATATTTAGATGTGTTCATCCAAAAAGAATATTGTTGTAAAAAATTAAGTGTTTAAAAGCTTCCATTGTTTTGTTTTTTTCGACAGTCTATGAAATTGAATCAACAGTTTTTAACATTAAGTATGTCTACTTAAGTATTAGTTTGTCTGATGTAATATATTTTGTATTTTATCATAACAAATAAAATAACTATACATAAATGTTGTTATTGAGTATCATTAATAAAAATAAAAAAACAATTTCATTTTCATTCCAAATGAGATACAATCTAAAAAAATTCATAAATAAATCATTATGTGTGTTGATGTTAACAAGAGAGAAAGGAAAGAAAAAAGAAATATATGTGAAGAGAGGAATTTTCTTTTTCTTTTTTGTCTTTCTCTCGTCCATAAATCATTGTTCGTGTTGTCATCATTGACGATCAATGATCAACATATACAATTAAATATGTATATCATTTTCGACGAGAGAAAAAAATGATTTTTCAAGGTATATATACGAATGATTTTCTATGTAAAATCATTCAAATTTTTGAATCAAATAATAATCACTTTTCTTTTTCTGTTTTAGATTGACCTCAATGATACAAAATTAATCAAATCAAGATCAAGCCATACAATAAAAAAAAATGTAGGTATCAGTTTTAATTTTTTTTCTTTTTTTTTTTAACGATTATAAGGATGGTGAAGTAAAACCTCCTATAATCTTTTTAATTTATTTTTTTTCTTTTGTCTTAGGTTCGATGAATATTTTCAGCTATGACAAGGTAACAGTGGGGTAAGTTAACTCATTCTTTTTTTTTGTCATTATATAACATTAAACTAATTTTTCTTTTTAGATAGTCATCGTCTTGCATTCAATATCAATTAATAGAATTGTAAGTATAGATTTCTTTATAGTTAGTGAGATAGATAAGGTATGAGTGAGAGTGAGGATAGGGTTACTCTAAGATAAGTGAGACAGAGTTATGGGTGTTAGTTAGATCGTCTTCCCAGGTTAGACGTTAAACACTGGCCAGGAACTATCTTGGTGTCCGTGGCACACGACCAGGCTTATTCAGACTCATTGACATATCTCTCGCGGGGAGGGTATGAATGATATGAGTCTGTCCTGTGCGTGCATGAGCGTTACGCTCGCCACGACTCCACCAGGATGGTTTCTGGTCGCGCGCGAATAGAATAAGCCATTCATTTCATCAATCCGATGCAATTTATTTGAAACGAAAGGAACGCAAAAAAAAATCTATCCCGGGGAATCTATTCGATTGAAAAACGTTGAACACGATGATTCCCCTGATCGACGACATAGAGATTGCCATGTCGATCGAAGGACAAACCACGGAGATAGTTGAACTGATTTGCTCCTTCTCCTTTACCATTTCCACCCACAATGACAGTGCCCTGTTTCGCTCCTTTAGGCCAACGCATCACTCGATGATTCCCTAAGTCTGCCACATAGATGGTACCCAATGTATCGACGAACAGTCCTCGAGGGTACGACAATTGTGTCAGAGCCTTTCCTTCGCCTTGATCTCCAGCGACGACAATCCCTTCTTTTGCACCTATATTCCATTTCATTACACGATGATTGTTTTGGTCTGACACGTAGACAGTCTGTTGTTGATCGACAAAGATGTAGGCCGGCCAGTTGAGTTGATTGAGACCATCACCTTCGCCATTGCCACCAGCTACAAGAGTTCCATTCTTGTCTCCTATTTGATATCGTCTTACTTCATGTTTGTCGGTGTCAGAGATGTAGAGATATCTCTGATCATCCATGGCCAATCTTGCACAAGCGATGTTGTCGATGAGGATTTCTCCTTGAGTTGTACCACTACGACGAGACCATCGTACGACTCGTCGATTGTCCCGGTCACAAATAATGAGACTATCCGTCTCTTTGTCGATCAACACATCGGTTGGACGATATAATTGATCCAATCGATTTCCTTGGCCATTACCACCAGCTACAACTTGTCCATTCGTATCACCCATCTTCCATTGGATGATACGATGATTTCTGAAGTCAGCGATGACCATCGTTTGATCATCATCAACGAAGAGACCTTCAGGCCAGTAGAGTTGATTGGTGGCATTGCCTTCTCCATGGCCTCCAGCAACGGTGACCCCATTCTGTTTCCATCGGGCATTGACTGGAATATTAGGAATTACTACAATGAAGGAAAAAGAAAAGAAATCGTCGTTGTCGAAGGGATCCTGTCTCTCGTGGAAGTAAGCGCTAGAAATATGACATTCGTCTTTGAAAATGCTCATTCCACAGATAAAAATTCAGAGGTCTTTTCCTAGTTTCTTATGAGAAATAAGGATTTGGTAACGATTCTTACGTTTATGTTACTTCTAGTTCTTGCCAAGATCTTTTTGATCATAAAAACAACACCTGGAGATTGTTGTAAGGTGGTTCTCCAAGAAAGAGTAATACTATTTCCGTGTAAGTTTTTGATAGAAAAACATAAGGATCTGAGGATTTTTTCAGAATTGCAAGAATTCAGAATCTTTTTGGCAGAATGATCATTTATATGAACATCAGAGAAGATTCTATCTATATCTTGTGAGAAGAATATCGAATCGTTGAACAACAAAATATCAAACCTAATCCCTATGTTTTTTAGGAAACCTTAAGGATACATGATTTTTCTGTATGATGAATGTAGATCTGCCGAAGAATCTCTCAAGTATTTGCATAGGCTTTTGATAAGTTATGTGAAGCTGTTCGAAGAACAACCGTGATGTACTCTGAGTAAGATCATGAGAAGGTTTGGATACAGGCGAAATTGAACAAAGTTGAGAGGATTCCATGCGAATCTACGTAATCTGAGAGGGCTTCTACTTTTGGAAATGCTGAAAAGATGGATGTCAATCCGAACGGAGTTCTCCAGTGACAAACATTGGGATCTATGGATTTTATGGGCTTTGAAAATCTAAAAATAATGAGTATCTTCTATGAGGATCATGCTATAATCCTTATGTAGTACTTGTTCTGAGAAGTCTTCTGTAAGCTCGCATGTTATGGATATGTTCAGGAGGATCTGAAGAGTAAGTATTTTGGAATGGTTGATATCAGAGTGAAAATGGAGTAGGAACAGGACAGGATGGAGGTGCCTATCTTTAAATTTTATGAGAAAGTTTATAAAGCAATCAGTTAATATGCTACTAATTTATATCAATCGTAGATTTAATTATGTTCAAAAATTTATGTGTATTTAACCCTCGGATGCTCAAGCTAATTTTTGGAGATAATATGATAACATGTATTCATATTTCTATGATTTTGATTGCTGGACTGGTATTCTTGCCCAAATTAGATTGTTTTCCTCTTCAGTCTTGTAAAGTAATTATTAGAATTATAGTTTTCCTTTATTTAGAACAGTAAATTCAAAAAATTTCCTGGACAAAGTGCTCATCACAAACCGATTCTGGGAGGATTTTCACTGAATTCTTCTGAACATAATGAATATCATAGGCACAAGGGCGGATATATATAATAGAAATCTCGGGACAATAATAATTTTCTCGAAGATTCTGAACAAGAATATTGAAAATAGAGTAGATGCGATGCCATGCACAAAAAGAATGCAAGAGAGAAGGGATATGCATGAGATGTAAAGTAGACGGGAAAGAAAAAAGAGACAGTGAAAATAGATGCATTTTTTTAAAGATTTTTGTCAGATTCAGAATAAAAGATGTTATTGTACATCTTATTAGATTCTAAGATTAAGAAATATATAAGAACAGAGTAAAGGACTCTGATCTGATTTTATCTGACTAAATAGGATTCATAAACAAAAGAAAGTTATAGCATTACGTAATCCAAGTCTTGTCTACTCTTATTTGATTCTGCGTGATCTATCATGTTCTTTTACTTATTTGAGAATTGTTGATTCAATAGCTTCTATTATAGAGAAATGTACAAAATACACAATGTTGTGTTACGAAAGTCGATGTTTTCTATTATTGTAATCGTAAAATCATTTTTGACTTCACAAATGCTTTGTATAATAGATTAGTCAAGGTACAGTTGTATCTTGAAAATTTTCACATAATAGAGAACGTTTTTCTTTACAAAATATTTCGACAGAAAAAATATCGATGTCCAAATTTTTCTAAAACTATCACAAGATGAAAAATTAAATTTTTCTCTATTGTCCCCTACTATACGCTGGAACATATATTTTTGTATTCCTTATTTTTCTATATATATAATATAGAAAATGATATAATATTTGATTTATTTGAACTTATATGCTTATACATATATTTTTATTCTTAATTTTCTATACTGATATTGATAATATAGGAAGCTTGTTAGCGTAGCCCCTTTGGGACTGAAATGTGAAACTCACATATATTCTCTAGCCTCATTAAACTAATATAAAATATGTAAAGTGAAAAATCTTTTGTAGACTATAGTTATTTTGTAGGATAATCGAACATCAGAGTAAGAGTGTTTCTAATTTCTGCATTTCGAATAGAAATTTTCTTTTTCTACGGACACCCTATTTTTTATTTTGCATTGTTACTATTGGTTCCTTATTATTCATTTTTTAAATTCGTTTTTCTTAATTTAACATTCTTATTATTATAATCATTGCATTAATTGGCAAATACATCTATTTTACATATCCATTATATCTATAGCAGATCTTACGCACTATTATATATATATATGTTAAGTAACTCAGAAACAATGATGTTGATTATCTTTCAAAATTATAACTTCATCAATTTTGGAAAAAAAACTATAGAAAATCTGACGCCTGTTATCCTCAATTGCTAAGATCCGTAATGAGGAGTTGTCTGTAATGGAGATGACGGTAGAGGGAGGGAACGGAAGCCGCAAAAATTCGACTTAAAACTTACACTCACTATTTTCTTTAAAAATATGTAAGTTCCTCAAAACCAATGATATAGATGTATTTCAAACTCGACGTTCAATGATTCTAATTAGAGACAACACTGAGTTTAAACTCTTCTCATTAAAGAGAGTCATAGATTTATAAAAAATATCTATTGGCATATGATTGTTTTCGTAAATGTCGAAATCCAACCCTTATTTTAAGTAGATATCTATACCTATCTACTAGTTGAACGATCTTTCCCGAAAATTTATGATGGAATTACGTTGTCTGTCACATGATCTATATAAATAGTATAGAATGTATAAAGTGTAATTGGAATATAGAGCTTCATATAAAACAAACAAGCCAAGAAAAATTTGTTTAACTTCATTGAAATCAGAAATGAAATAAATGGGATAGGTCTTTTTCTTTTTACCATGTTCAATCATTTCAATTCATTTTCATTCCAATTATCAATAGGCCAGTTCAATAAAATTATGTTTATGAGATATAATATGATATGTGACTATGTTTGCGATAATGATCAAATTTCATACGATTTCATATAAGTATAGTTTGCGCTTGTTGAACAGATGACTATGCTTACGGTAATGTCTCATAGAGAGTAAATGCAAATTAATCATC